TTTATTAGCCACAATATGTACATGTATATAATATGTGAAAACAATTAAAAACATAAAATTAAATATAAAAATATAAAATAATCATATTATAAAAAATAACGAACCATTAATTTATAGGTACTTTTCTTTTTTTATTATTGATTACATAGATAATAAATATTAATAATATTAATATTATAACAATATTATCTATGAATGATTATTACTATTTCAAATTTCCGATATATTTAAATAAAAATTTAAAATAACATCAGGATAGTATGCGGTGCCCGTGCCCCTAAATCCGTGGTTGTGTAGGCTGAAGCCTACACTGCTTACGCCTTAATCCGGGCCTGATTAWGTCATAATTAGGTCTCGGATTTTGTAGCAAATGCTTCTTTTGAGGGGAGTGTGATAGAAAGATAATTCTTATATATAAATACGTTTTGAATCGTTCTGATTTTAATGAAGTAAACTTTTTTTTGCTTTTTTCCATAAAATCTGCTTTTTATTGCTTTCCCCCTATTTGATTATTTTTTCTTGATTGTTACATATTTTTCTTGAAAACAGCTTATTTCTATGTATATTATACGTCTTGGACAATATTATTATTACCAGAAATTATAAAACCAGTGAAAWAACCAGTAGTAAAAACATGACTGATAAAATAACTGTCGTTATTGTGTCGAAATGTTTTATCTACAATTATCTATAGTTGTATTTAAGACTCAAGGAAAGGGAAAATTATCTAAATTAAATCCAATAAATTATCCAATAGAATGAGTTTTAATGAAAGTCACTTGACTAAATATATGGTTGTAAATTCCTTTTTTAATATTTAATTTTATGTAGGTATAATTGAAATTTGCTTTTTAGAATTAAATTTTTTAATGCTTTTTTTAGCTACTTAAAATGCTTTATTTTGCTACAAAATCCGAGCCCTAGTCATAATCAAATAGATCTTATCTCTTTTCTATGAAATATGAACTGAAACACTAGAGCAGTGTCCGCTGTTCAGTGAATCACTTCTTGGCTTCTTGGCTTTCACCATCGCGCGCTGTCYGCCGTCCGGCACTTGTAGTAAATGCTACTCGGCCGGTCAGCCGTCGACATCCGAGACAAGTTTAGCCATTTTTTTACGGATCGAGTGAGTTCAGACTGAAGAGCAGCAGCTCAAGAATGAACAAGGATACTTGTAAATTTGAAAGTTGCCAAAGATGGAAAGGTGGTCAGTGCACAGTGGAACAGTACAGTAGTCTGGTATACCAGGGAGACCAGACGGAACAGGTATACGTCAATACTGCACTAGTCGTGCCCCATGCCCCCGTTCACGACCGTGGATCTTTATTCTTTTTCTTTATATTGTAGTTCGTGGTGGCTGCTGGTCGTCGCGTCGTTGGCACCACTGCGCTCGCGTAGCTCTATCGATCCGTGCCCCGCCCCCGCTTTCCCAACCGGACGGACCCGCGCTCCCCGTCATCACCACCCGGTTCGTGTAGCCAAGCTCACTACTTCACTTTTGATCGTAGTTGATCTATAGGCAGTTTTCCCGTGTGCGTTTCTTCTTATTTTTTTTTCCCCAATTTTTTTTCCACAGGCGATTCCCCCCTCATGCACTTCCTACCGTCATAATTCGTCGTGTCCGCCGTCGCCGCGTGAATCACCAACCATTGCCCCGCGAAAACAAAACCGTTTCGTCGCGCGTACGACAACCAACGCCGTCACCCTAATCATCCCCGATAAAGGTCTGTTGTTGTCGTCGTCGTCGTCGTCGTCGTCGTCGTTGTCGTCGCCGCCGCCGCCGCAACCACCGCCTGTGAAACAGGACCATAGCAATAGCAGCAGTAGTAGCGGCAGTAGCAGTGGCTGTAACAACAACAACAACAACAACAACAGCACCACCAGTAGCCGTCGACACCGCCGCCTCCTCCTCCGTACGCCTTACGCGATTAACGCGGTGCCGACCTCAGCAGCGGCATCAGCAACAGTAACAACTAAAACAGTCCCCTCAACGAACGCCAAAATGGAGCCACAAGACACCAGCATGACGAACTTGATAATCAACTACCTACCGCAGTCGATGACCGACAAAAAACTACACCAAATGTTCACCCAGATCGGACAAATCGAAGCGTGTCGGGTGATGAAAGACGTCAAAGTGAGTTGACGTCAAAGTCCTACAATCGTAGGAGTGGTCTCAGATGCCACCAAAAGCTGAGCCGGTAGTTTGGGGGTTTTGGGTCTTTTTTTAATATTATAACTTCAAAAACAAGGCGTTAACTAAGTCATAAAATTATATTGGTTGGTATATCAATTTTTTTAAKGGACATGTCCCACAAGCGTTTTTCTTAAGAATTCCACGGGGAATTACGTTCGTTTAAGATTGTTTGATTAGGTAAGTGAAATTTGTAGCGGATCAGCATTGTAAACTTTACCAAACTTTTTTCCTCAATTTAGTCTAAAAACTAAGTATCTAGATATACTTTCATCATTCAATTGGATATAGATTAGCGCTCAAGGTTTTGCTTGACCTGACTGTTTCTATTTGAATCGAGATTTGGACGTTTAATTTGTGTATGCAATAGATGTATATTTTGAAAAAAATTGTTTGTGAGCTAAACCACATTTGTTACTTGTTCTAGAAATCATTTTTTCATTGTTTAGGTAATAACTGGCTAAATATATCTATCACAATAATATGGAATTAATGTTTCCAACACGATAATACCTAATTAAATTTAATTAGGTATTGCTAGGTATAGCTTTGCCTAAATATGAATTATGAATATATTGTTTTTGTTGAAAATGATCATTGTTTCAGTTTAAAATAAATATTTCAGTTTATACTTATTAAAGCAGTTGTCTGGGTTGAATGCTTTTTAATTTGATTTTTGATTACATATAACCTACCTATGTTTCTTAAGAAGTAAAAATTAAATACTATCATTCAATTCTACATGATAATGTTGAGTTAGAAGCCTGGTAGATGTAAATAATTTAAATAAAAAACTTAATTTTTTAAAGTACCTTTCTATGGTACCTACACATAAATTACAGAGTATGAACTGTGGAAAATGTTCTTTATGATTGCAATAGTTTTCAGTGATAACGCTGATACTATTTGATCTAATATTCCTGCCAATTTCATAATAATATTCAGGATATCCCACGAGGATTTACCCATAATGATATCTCCCAAAATAATGGAGATATCTGAGTTTTGGTTTTGTAATAAGACTCGACGGGATAAGAACTACAATATTTTATTTTAAATTATTAGTAAAAAATCTATTTTTTTATTTTATTATTTCTAAAAAAAATTACTATATCCATTTTTTAGAGTTTATTTTTATAAAAATATTGAAGTTTCAAAATTTTATTTTCATTAATTTCCTGATTTTTGATTTAAAACGTCAATATTTTCAGAAAATTAAACCCTACAAAATGGCTATAGGTAATCAATTTTTCGGATATAATTAAATAAAAATATATATTTTTTAACTTTATTACCAAACATTAAAATAAATTAAAAAATGAAATAATTATTTCGTGAGATATCGCAACGGGTAAATTCTTGTGAAACTTCCTTTATACTCAATTTATAGTTACCTATTTTTATTTTTTATTTTTTTTGTAAGGAGAACTCACGGCAACATAGGCCATTGKGTGTGGGGTGGTACGGTAGGGTTACCTATTATTATTTATTTATCAACCTAATATTAACATAATATATAAACTATGTATTCTATATACTTAATCCATTAAGGGACCTATGTTCAAAATTATTTAAATATTTGAATTGTTACCTACTGTTTGAACTATTTTACAGCTAATTAATTAGGAGTTTGATTATTTTATATTATTTTTATTTTTCTAAAATGCTTGATACCTAATTAAATTGTACATTTTAGGTGGAATTTTCTATTGACAAATAATATAGGTATGAATAGAATTCTATTTATTTGTTTATGAATTATATTAATWTTTGGATTAGTACCTAATAAGGTACCTTTTAAAGAAAAAAAATTTAAAAACTAGACATGTATTAAAATTGCTAATAACTAAGTTTATTATTTTAATTTAAATACTGATATATCTACTACAATTTCAGTGTAGATTCGAATAGTAATGACTACTAACTTCATTCCTATTAAATTAATATTGTATTGTTTTTTAGACTGGTTATAGTTTTGGTTTTGGCTTTGTCAACTTTGTTCGTCCTGAAGATGCTTCTAGAGCTATTGAAGTGATGAACGGTCTCCAAGTTGAAAATAAACGTTTAAAAGTATCTTATGCTCGACCTGCTGGAGAAGATATCAAAGATACAAACCTTTATGTTCAAAATTTACCAAGGTAAAATAGAAATAATGTTCTAAACTTAAATGTAATACTTTAAAAAAATATTTTTAAAATTATTTTAGATCAATAACAGAGAGAGAACTTGAAGATTTATTTGCTCCTTATGGTCAAATTGTTCAAAAAAATATACTTAAAGATAAATACAGTGGACTTCCCAGAGGAGTAGCTTTTGTTCGGTAAGATATTAAATTCGTGTTTTATATGTATTAAAAGTATTAATCTAATAAAAAAAAAAAATTGGATAATATATAGTTACTCTTTGTGTTAGTCTATTTATCCTTTACTGGAATATTAGTTATATTTATTTTAACCAAATGAACATCAATGAATATTTTTTATTTTTATTTTTATAATTGATTGAAAAAGAAAATTTAATACAGATTATTATTATTTTTTTTTTATTAGTTAAACATCAACTACACAGGTTATTAGCTTAATACAAAATTTTTACATATTTACAATTTACATTTTGTTATACAAATCGATATTTTTTTAAATATAAGATTATATTGTATTATGACATGGTTTTTAATATTTTACCGATAGTTTAAGAAAACTCTTCTTAAATAAACAAATCTTATSACAGAATTAACAATTAAAATCAATGTACAAATAGTTAAGGTAAATTAATTTTATGTCTAGTAAATACTATCCATTTTTACTATTCATAGTTAGATAATATATGTATTATAAAATATTTAGGGTGATGCCATTAAATGTACGTTATATATATTTATTTATGTCATATTATAGTTACAACAAAAAAGAAGATGCCCAGAAAGCAATTATTCAACTAAATGGTGTTTTATTGGAAGGATGCACAGAGCATCTATCAGTAAAAATAGCAGAGGAACACGGCAAACAGAAAGCAGCTTATTTGGCTGGTCTGCAAACCGGTTTAGCGCACAGAGGTACAAATGACACCCTCACATACTTAAGCTACTAGATAACAAAAGAAAAAAGAAAAAAACCTAACATTTCCCCCCTATCAATAATCTGTTTCAATGTCTTCGAAGTTACATGTCATAGATCAGAAACAAAATGTAATACATTGAATTCTGGCTCATCGGTTTTCTGTAAGTATCATCAATTGTATCTAAACATAGGCCTATTATGATACATTAAATTGTATGGTAATTATTTATATTTGGATATCTATAGGTAATTTATCTATGAAATACAAATAATAGTTGACATRTAAATGTCGTAAAAATATTCATGAATAATTTAAAACATAGTCCTTTAATATCTAACGAGTAAATTTTGTATTGAACAAGAATATAATATATACAATATAAATTATTACTAATGAACTATTATGTAACTTTATATAATTAAGAAGAATTTTTAAGTTATACTTATTTTAAATATTTGCGTATTTGTTATTTTATTATTATATATATTGCATTGATTAGCAAAAGTTCATAATGTAATTGTAAGTTTTCTGTTTCTCTGATTTTTAATTGATGATTTGAATTAAATAAAATATTGATAATCTTACATTCTTACCCAATATGTACATTTGTTTTCTATCATCTATTTAATATTTATATCATTCATATTACCATTGATTATAAATACTAGTATTTATAATCAATGGTATTACAGTGTTTTATGTGATTAATAAACAGTTACATTATAAAACAATATACTTACTATATGAAAAGGTATTAAGAATTTCATATACTATTTTTTTATAATATCAAGCTTTTTTAGACATTTCTTGACAATCAATAAAACCTTTTTATATAAGTAAACACTACACCTGCATGTGTTGTTTCTGTCGCACAAATGTAATACATTGTGAAAACTGTTTTGTGCGGGAAAGAACCACTCAAGCTGTAATCCAAGCTAGCAGCTAAATTTTCACACTATTAAGAGAATATTTACAGTGCAACATTGTTTTATTTTTTCAATATCAGAACTAAAAAAACGTTATTCAAGTTTGAAAAACTAAAAAATAATGAATTCTTAAACAGTTAAAACTTTTTTTGTATTTGTGATATCAAAAAATAAAAAACAATGTTAAACAATAAATATTTCCCTCTTAATATTGTGAAAATTTGGTTGCTTAGTTGGATTACAACTTGAGTGCTCTTTTCAAAACACTTTTTGCAATGTTTTATGTTTGTAAGACAGAAACAACACATGCAAGTGTAGCTAACTTTTAAGTCGATTTAGTTTTTATTCTATGTTTATTATTGGTTAATTATTTAAATTATATTTTTAGTTGTCTCAGGTATTTAAATATTTATGTAATATAGTTGATTAACTTAATAATCGTGTACCTATTCAATATTCTATTAATGTTTCATGTTTAATATTTATAAAATTATTGAAATACAAATTATTAAAAATTTAGTTATATCAAGATAGTTATCACTTATAACACATCTAACAACTGTTGTTTGATAATAGCATAGTGAGGTTAGGGAGTTAAACCTGTAATAATATTTAAAATATTTGTCTAGATACTGTATATCTTGTAAATGTGCAAAACATAAATTATAAATGGTGGTGGTTTAAAAGTTAATAAATAATTTATTGGAAAATATTAAATTAAAAATAGTTCAAAATACTTTTCTATTTCCCTAAATTTTACATTTAAAAGTTATAATAAACTAAAGTTTTATTAGGGCGAGGATATATTTTAAAAATCTTGGAGAAGATAATTTAAAAATGTAATATAGATAATTATTAGATATAACTAATGAATAGAACCCGGATTTATATGCAAATGCATATTCTTCTACAATTCACCTAGAATAATTTTGATATGTCAACGTTTCATAATGTTTAGAGTTTTAGACACTAGATATTATAGTTAATTTGTTTTTGCATATTTATTGATAGTTACATAAGCATCGCATATTCTACAACTATAATAATGAGTGGGACGTTCTATGACGTTGTGTTTATCAGTAAAATAATTACTGATAAACATAACGTCCTAGAATGCTCCATTTAAAAAACGTCTCAACAAAATCTAACATAAACACCATCTCACTCAAAGGAGCATTCTGACCAGGTCAAGAAAAAACCATAACCAACTTTATCGAAATTGCGGATCTCACAACAAGTATATAAGACAACAAATCAACAATACCACTAGCTATTAATATAAAAAATAAAAATTATAAACCATCATGTAAAAAAATTAACTACCCCTAAGTCAATGTAAACCCAAGACAATGTTATGTAAACTATATTAGGCTAATAAAACTTGTTACTGAAGCCTTAAAAAAAAAAAAAATTATAATCATTTTAATTCCATCTTTGTTTATTAATAAATAATCATATTTACGTCTGTACAAATACCTACTTTTGATTGTAAATAACCTATGATAATGTACACTGGTAAGTTATTGATGTTCAACAAAAAATATTGGATTTTCTTGTGGTAAATTTATTATATTGTGACCAGTGCTGTAGTCCTAAAAAAAGCAGAGGGTATACTATGAGTTATAATATTAAACATTTATACTATYATTAGGTATCACTTTAGTAGAGGGTAAATAACACAACACACATACATTAATTGTACAAATTAAAATTAAAACTATATAAATTATGTTTTATACAAATTGTCTATCTTAAATGATTCTTAACATTCTTAGTTTTTCTATCAAAAATATTAATAATAATCTAATGACTTTTATCTTTATATTATTTTGGTAATTTTACTACTACAGAGAGTATATGACCTTAATCAGAAAGTTTACGGATTTTATTAGATATAACCAGAAAGTATACAGAGTTTAGTGCCGTATACCCTCCACTACAGCACTGATTATGATTATTAAATAACAGTATATTATGTACACATTCTTAACATGTCATTAAAAAAATGTATTTTGTATTATTATTTTTTAATTAACTTTTTTACATATATTTAGATTGTGTAATAGTTTTACTCAATATTGTATAGTTTAATTTGTAATTTGTAATAAAAATGATYTTGAATGTTTATGATATGAATCTGTATATTTTATAGATTTTATTGCATATAAATCCGGGCCATAGTAATAAAATAAAATAGGTGATTTCTTTAAAATGTTAAAACATGTGATTAGTCAACATTTAATTGATTAATTACAATATAAAACATAAATTTAATAATTGTAAAATAAGATAATATCGTCGTTAATGATGCTGTGACTTGTACCTAATAACAAAAACCTTATTAAAAATTAGATTGGTCTCAACCATTGCAATGGCGCCCACTGGGGGGTCAGGGGTGTCGACTGACACCCCTCAGAGAATGGGTGGGTGAGTGTGACTGGTTCTGAGTGAATTCGGATGTTATTTTGATAAATATTTGTTTAATTTAATATTAATTGTATAAAGAGTATAAACTCAGATTTTACTCGTGGGGTGGGTGGGTACCGTGAGATATATATTTTCAACACCCTTGTGAAAAATCTACTGTGCGCAACTGAACCATTGTTTATATTTTTAAAATAGTTTTTCTTAATTGAACAGTGCATAATAATTGGCATTGAATTTTTGTTTCTTTGGCTGCAACTTCCAGTATTGTATTTATAGCTTAATAATTAWCTACATTGTTACATTAATTTATTCAGCTTGATATTAGTTTTRTGCATTCTTTAATTAGTAGAGTTATTTAATGTTCATTCAACATTTTGAGTTATTGAAGAGGTGGTTGTTTTAGTGGGATGGGTTGAACCACAAAATAACCATTATGCTGTTTTTCACTCCTGAGACGAACTCTGTTCTCTAAGATATAAAAATATTGTTTTATATTGTGTTTGATTAAATCAACCATATATGTTTTTCAATCGTAATATTTAAAAAACAAATTGGTTGCGTTTTTTCTTATTGCCATGTTTGTGTTATTGTATTAATAATATATTATAATGTTTATATTTGAATGGATATTTTTTGTTTGTATTATTTATCAGGTTATGAAGGTTATTGAGGTAATTGAAGTAAAATTTTGCTTGYAACTTTGCATAATGAATACAAATCATTTAGATTTGTTTAATATCATGTCTTCAAGTACTGTCAACCCATATCTCGTTATATTCCCTATACCCAACCTTATTTTCAATTGCTTTATAGTTTTTTGGATTTCGGTTTAAAGGTTTTTTTGTTTTTTATGATTTAATATTTGTTATTTGTCAATAATCTGTTAACACTCATTTGTTTACTAATATTTTTCTCTTTTGTATGTTTAGGGGCTAAAAATCCACAAATCATGTACCAATTAGTCAGAGCTAATCATGTTATTGACAAGTATCCCAATCCAATGTTGCAACATGTTGAAAGACCTACAATTGGTGCTATGCACCAAGATAGGGCTAGTTATCGCCATACAAAYGTTGGTTTGTTTCCACTGCCACTTAGCTACAATGCCGGCATTGGTAATGGGAACATGTATTAATATGCATTACTTTTCCACAATACATTTGTACAGATTTTAGGTTTTTTTCTTTTTAATGTAAATTAAATTAATATAATATATATATTTATATCCAGTCTCCATAATTTAAAATTGCTCGATACATTTTATGAAATGAAAACAAAAAAGATCGTTGTAGATTTCTTCTATATTTAGTCTAGAAATTGTATTGTAAATAACTTCAAGTAACAAATAAAGTATGTTATGATTCTTTGGAATATTGATAAAAACTCATAACATTAACTTTGATATTATTATCCTTTTATATGATAATTAATTATCTTAATTAGTCTAAAATATAAGTATGCATGTGTGCCTATATTTGATGTTTTTCTACGGTAATGTTTTTTAAATAAAATAACTTGTCTGTATATATAACATTGATCACTGAAATCTTTAAATTACTAAAGTATTCCACACAATTTATAAAAATGTCTTTGAATTAATATATATTTTTCTTTTTTCAATGTTGTTAATATGTTAGAATTTTTTTTTTCGTTCATGAAATACAATATAAATTAATTTATGTGTAATTAAAAGTTAATTTGTTTTTTTTTTTTTAATTTATTGATTTATAAACTGTGTTGGGTTTTTACTTTTTTTCTCAAGCACAGTAAATAATTATTTGAAATTTATTAATAGTCTTTACATTTTAGAACTAAGTTGTTATATTCAACAAATATGCAGGGAGGATACACATATCTATTAAAAAATAATCATATTAAGTCATTAAAAAAAAAATCTGTCCTATTGACTTCCAGAAAATAAAATTTACTGTCWAGTTTGATAATATGATGTAGATCAACCTGTTATTTTTATTGTTTGATGACTCTGTAAAGTATATTTTTTTTATGGTTTATCTAATGCTAATATTATTTTATATGAAATATATTTATGTAAAGAAATACATTTATATATAAATTATTTAAAGATTCACTCTTATGTAGCCAACAGGTATTTTGAGAATACCAACCATATAGGCAGACCTGTAAAGAATATTGTTAAAAAGTATTTAAGATACTACTCAATTTGTATAGTATTTCAAATACTTTAGGTTTTTAAAGAAGGTTTCTAATTAACGAAGGTATTACAATCAATCAAAGGTCTGTAATTAGGGGTGGAGTGGCCAAGCGGACTAAGGCGTCGGTTATGATGCACGCAGTCGCCAATTCAAATCTCGGTCACGGGCGGCATGCTCTTTGAGCATTTCGCGGTGTCTGGAGAGAGGAGGTCGCCACCCCCCAACCGGGCATGGCAGAAACCTACGGGTGCCCATTCAAGATTCTGCCAATAACCCACGTGTTAAACCTACAATTCCCCAGGCTAATTACCTCAGTTGTCGAAGCCCTAACCCTAAAAAAAAAAAAAGGTCTGATCATTATATTTTATTTATTAATTAAATATTTATTTTAGAAACATGTTTTTAAAATTCAGTATTATGATTAGAATTAATCATATTAAAACTCAAAGTAGATAATTAATTTTTATTTATGAAATGAATTAACTGTAAAAACTTAAAAATAATACTTTCTTATTTAGGAACTACCAACTACAAGTCATTAAATTAATAAATTTAATAAAACGTTGCAAGTTTTTAAGTTTTATAACGGAACAATATATATTATCCCCGTAATCCTGCATAATCAGCATATCATAGATCAACACTTACCTATCTAATAATACAAAAGGAAATACTGTTATTGAATATCTATTTTTAGAAAATCTGCTAACACAAATACAGAATTTTAAATAAAATTATTATCAAAAAATTGTAGTTGGCACTTGGCAATATTTTTCCAATTAAATATTTCAAATAAAAATAAAATCAAAGTATTCAATACAAATAAAAGGAATTGAAAATACTTTATGCTGAAAGTATTTAAAGTTATTCAGTACTTAGAAAAGTATTTGAATACTGTTATTCAAATACTTTACAGGACTGCATCAAGGTTGTAAAAACATTTTGTTTTTAATTCCAAAAATTGTCTAAAGAATAATAAACAATAGACTATCTTGAATTTTAATACAGCAGATAGGAACAATTACATTGTTTGTCATGACGTACGTACAACTACAATTCATTTACCAACAGTTGTTATAAAAAATATAAATATTAATATATTATACATCTTTTAATTTGTGGTTACTAATTAGTCAAATTAGTGTACTGGTATCACAAGATTGTTAATAATATACCTAAATATATAAAAATAAATGAATCTTGACCKTCACGTCTTAAGTTGGAACTAAGATAAATTTCCTAAGGTAAAAAAATTGATAACTTAGAAGGAAAAAAAACATGAAAATAATTTTATATTTTGCTATATTATGTAATAAATAATTTTTTTTATTAGACAATGATTAGTTCAATAATCTAATTTACCAGATATTCTTTGGTTAGATAAACTCTTACTTATATCATGTAATTAATAAATAAAAAGAAATGAATAAAATAACAATATAATAGAAATATAAGCTATCAAAAACTTATGGTAATAACTAATAAGAGATGACGGTTGTTCAAATGTTTTCAATATCCATTGATAAAAGATACAAGATGTTAAATAAATTTTCCCAACACTGAAATCCTACTCTCAAAACATAGTTAAAACAAAGTTAAGCTAGTTATTATTTTTAAATATCAGAAATAATTTTTTAATTATTCAAAATTTGGTTACAAGAATATTCAACAGATAGAACGCCAGGGTAACTGGATTAGTGATCTAAATTTTAATCAAAAAGTTGAAACTTATGTCTAATAAATTAAGAGTAAGACATAATATAGCAAAATATAAAATTTTGGTTTCTTTTTCTATGATACCTTATCATTTGATGAACCGTAATAACAAAAATACACATATTAGTTACATATCCTTGTCAATTTAACTTCCAATAGTGAAAAAAATTTCTTTAAAGACAAGATTATCRAATCTAGTTTAGTGTGATTTTGATAGATTGATATTATAACTTAGGAATGCAATTCAAGTTTTGTGCACAAATACGACTAATGTACATTATTTTCATATACAAWTCATTAGTGTAAGTTAGTTTCTTTACTGTCCAGAAGCTTTAGTATAAGGTTGTTTATATAGAAAATTTATGAAAATAGARTGTCATTTCTGATGTTCACAATCAACATCAATGAATTGATCTTGATCAACACATAGATTTGTCTTATCCAACATTATCTACATTGCGCAGATAACATAAAATACAAGCAATTCCAAACTAGGCATCAATAATTATTAAATTAAAATTATTTTCGATCATTTTACGTGGCTGACATGCCAAACTAATGAGCAACATATATTCTAAAATTATTTGCTTCAAAAATTGGAGAAGCAAATGTTAAGTTTAATGTAATATTCAAGTTATCAATCAATTGCATTAATTTACCAAAAAAAAATAATTTTTGTGTAATATTGAACTTTAAGATATTCTAAACAAGTATAAGTTAGGTCCTAAGAGTAGTTTTAAGATTTATCATTTAACCATAAAATTAAATGTGTTACAAAATATTGGACTTATGTTGAACCAGTTTTAACATACTCAACATAATATATAGATTATAGACATAATTCATTCTAATTTAAACACTAAATATGTATATAACCAATAAATAACTCAAATAATTTAAAATAAAAGCAAACTCAAATTTGTATTATTATTTTTTATATATTTAATAAAATAATTATTTTACAAAAACATCCTTATTCATCTCCCTTAGTTACCCTCGTGTATATTACTTGGGCATGGTGTTGTATTACTTGCTTGATTAGACCTGCATAATTATATTAATAAATCAGATAATTATGTTTATAAGAGATTAAATTGTATCTTCACTCACCTTTTTGGCAGAGCTCGTCTAAAGCTTTTCTTGCCAATGATCCACGAACCTTCAAACGTTCACTGACAACAGACGGGGTAATAAGTTTGTACGATGGAACTTCTTTTAACAGTTTGTCGTATGATGCTTTATCAAACAAAACTTGATTGTTCAACTTGTCACGAACTTTACCTTTGGACCACTTCTACACTCAAAATACATAAGAAAAATTTTAAACATAACCTTAATCACGATTATTATCAGTTTTGAATGGATAACTGACCTTCTTTTTGGCTTTGCCACCGGATCCTCCTTCTTTTTTCTTTTGAGTTTTTTGGGGCTGCTTGGACGAGCCCTTTGTGTCCTTCTTGGGCGGCTAAAATACACAAAATAAACACGGTTAGCCGAACATCTATTATCTGGAACAAGTCGTAAGACATCGGTTTCCTAACGACATATTAATTGACAATCGAGTAGCATTCGTATCTCGCGTCGATAAATTTGGCATTTACTATACGTACAACGAACGAAAACACGAGTAATCGATGACGACATAATTATCGTGAAAACCAACATCGTTGCAATTCAGATAGTTGGGAAAAACGTAAAAGCCACATGGTTTTAGGGAGCGATGTTGGCAAGTGTCAATTGGAAATGTACGGTAGTACTAGGGGAAAGGAACATCAGTAAGGAAAAAGCATGTCTGATTTTCAATAGATTAAGTAATAGAAACGAAAATAACTTACCATATTTGTTTAGAATAGACCTGACAAAAAYTATTAAAGTCGAGCTGAACGCACCGACAAACCGTGTTTTATTCCACCAGAAAGAATCGAAAACACGACGTGACGGACGTCGGGCGACAGGGAAACAAAACTTACAATGTGCCCAACGTACGCTCCAGTGTTGCTAGAATGACGATATTTTGTTTGTTTTTTGTGTGCTATTGGTAGCACCACTGGTGCTGTAGTTATCATTTATAATTTTGTCCTACCGACAACAGCTGTTTGAAAAATCCAATTTCGTTATCAGATATCACGTTATTGGAATAATTTTCCCAAGGTATATAGCTCGTTAGTCCGAAAAATTGAATAAAGTAAATTTTCTTCTTTGGGGAATGTTTCACTGACTTCGACCGTATATCCAAACAGTGCTAATCGCGTGCTAACATGTCCGTGCACGTGTTCAGCAACAACGTGAAGGTTCTCAGTACGTATTGCTACGAAATCATGGTAAATTAGAAGAATGTGTGTACATAGTCTGGTTTACAGGGAATCGGAGTTTGTCATTGGCTGTCTGTTCGTCTTCACACTATAGCACTGAATCTTCTGAACCTCAAGTCATTAAGAATCCGTCGTTGTCGCAATTGAAAAGGGGTACCGGAGGTCGGTCGAGTTTCAATGGGGTGGTGGCTACCGTTTTTGGAGCAACCGGACTTTTGGGCGGTAATCTCATCAACAAATTGGGCAAGATTGGGACACAGGTAATTTTTTGTTTAGACCATTGATATCGATGTCGTAATTTATTCAAATGTAAATTATTTGTAACAGTTGATTATTCCATACCGAGGAGATGCCTACTTCATAAGGGATTTGAAACTAGCTGGTGATCTGGGTCAAGTTTTATTTCAACCATATCACTTGCAAGATGAAGAGTCTATCAGGAAAGCAGTAAAATACTCGAATGTTGTCATTAATTTAGTGGGACGTGATTGGGAAACAAAAAATTTCAAATTCAATGATGTCCATGTCGAAGGAGCTAAACGTATTGCACGCATAAGTCGTGAGATGGGTGTTAAACGATTGATTCATGTATCTGCACTTAATGTTGATCCATTGCCACCTGTAAGTTATTATCTTGTTTTTATATTAAGAGGATGTAATACCCGCATGTGTTGTCTCCGTTTTACAAGTGAATAACTGTAAATTTTACGCTCAGCAGATCACGCTTTGTTGTGTTAGCTTAAGAGTTGGAGTGAATTGAATTCTTACAAAATTTAAAGGTAAGARTATTATTTAGATGACCTCATGATTTATTACTATATTTTAATTTTGAAGCGAGTAATAAGTATTTTAAAATTGTACATTTTTTGTACATCTTAAAATACTTATAACTCATTTAAAAATTAAAATATAGTAAAAAGTCCATGAGAATCTCTAAATGATATTCTTACCTTTAAATTTTGTAAGAGGTCAATTAACTCGAAATTTTAAACTAACGGATTAAAGGATGATCTGCTGAGCGTTAAATTTGTTACGTTACATACTTGTAAGACGGATACAACACATGCGGGTATCACATCCTTCTAACTATACTTTTTAATAYCCTCTACACATCTTCTATTGATAATTTATAGTTACTATTTAATAGTAAGAATATAAGATAATACAGTATACTGTACTGTCTTGTCTTTTATTTTGATATTTTTACAAAAATATTAATTATTACAGTATCATTATTTCAGTTGCTCTAAAATTTTTTAATTATTGATATATTTATAATAATATTATTATAGGTAGTTTAATTATAATATTTGGTAATACATTTTCATCCGTTGTTCTAGCCTATCTATCTGAAAAAAGGATCAGGATTTTTGTCATCTAAAAAAGTTGGAGAACAGCTAGTTCGCGATGAGTTTCCTGATGCTACTATTTTTCGTCCATCGGACATTTATGGTCAAGGGGACAGATTTTTATTGTAAGTGCCTCATAATATTATCATTCATTAATGTTAGGTACTAAAATTTAAAATGATTTTCGAGTTCTAAGTATTTTTATATTAAAAAAACTTGAGTAATTTGCTATCATCAAAATATTTGATTGAAATACCTACTCATTTGCCGTCATTTTATAATGTTTTGGTTTTATTACTTAGTTATTTCAAATTTTTAGTTTCTCTATAATTCTACATAAATTATTAAAACAGTAATATTATTTTGTACCAAACTAATTTATTCAACTTAGTGTTTAAACATCAATATTTATTTTAAATCTAAATATGTTATTTTTATAAACCAATAAGTATTTTTACCTCTACTATTTTATTTTTATTTTTTCAAAAAATGTTTACAAAAATATTAAAACTTGACTTTTGGTTTATAAATTACTAATATAAATTCTTAAATTTGTTTAATGTTTTCACTTGAATTATATTTTCAGCTAGGTATGTTAAGTAGTACTAATAAATATGTATTGCATATTTTTTTTAAAACTATTTATCCTCTTAATAATACTATCACTACAACTGAGATTAAAAGGTCCAAACCTGGGGAAAAAATTATTCTCAAAACAACAAACCGATTTTAAGACTCAAACCTAAGCCTACGAACTTACTTAAAATCCAGGCCAAACACTGCCTTAAAATTAATTAAATTTTCGGTTTTGACTTTTTTATAGAGCTCATTTGCCTTCAATAAAAATAAAAAATCTATCCTACTCATATTGAATGTAATGTGTATTCTGTTTAAAAAGAGAATATACCAGTTCTGAGCACTTTTTCCCACTTACATCAGTTTCTACCTGGTATATATTTTTTTGGTACAGAAGTATAGTCTATGATTTGCCCTCGAACCAATTATTATATTCAATACAATTTGTTATGAAATAGCAGTATAAGCGATGATTCTATTATTAYTTGTTCAATGCATTGATTTATGTTAGGTACTAACGTTGTAAAAATAAAGATGTGAAACAATAAGATGTAGTAAATGGAAAAAAAAAATGTTAGGTTTTAGAACCAATACTATTGTGTTCCCTTTGTTTATTTTTTCAACAATTTTTACTTTTATTTTAGGTAAAATTTATTGTAATAAACAATGTGCTTGAAGATTTATGCCACAAATTWAATACCTATTATAAATAATATGTAATATGTTTTCAATTCTTTCATATTTTAGACAAAAATGGTAAAAATTTGTATGATAATTTTGTAAATAAAAAAAGATATTTAACTTTTCTGGTATTCTTATTGATAACTTATTATTTTAATATATAAAAATAGATAGTTATTATAAATCGTATAATACAAGTATTTATTATATTATACTTAAAGGCTATTTGAAAAATATTTATTGTTTAGGATGTACAGTCATGCATGGCGTCGTAGTCATCAGCAAATTGTTTTATGGCAGAAAGGAGAACAAACAGTTAAACAACCTGTYGCAGTTTCTGATGTGGCATACGGCATTGTGAATGCTATGCTTGATCATACAACAGCAGGAAAAATTTATCAAGCTGTRGGGTATGTGAATCGAGATTACCTGATAATATGTATACCTATAAATATAATAAATTATAATTGCAATGTTATTTAATAACTTAAAATTTTTAGGCCAACTCCTTATATGTTATCCGATTTGATCGATTGGATTTTTGCAGTTTTGCGCCGTAATAGACAATTTAACTTTGATTATAAACGCACTGGTATTCTGGAAAATCCTCAATATCTATTAAAAATGTGGTTAACAGACAAACTTTGTCCTAGCTGGCCTCCAGGCTATGTTACTTCTGAGCGTTTTGAAAGAGTAAATAATTTTGTAAAATTATGCTTGTGAATTTATGCATTTTTAATCAATTACAAATGTGTTATGAACAACATTTATATGTTCTAGGAGTTTGTAAGCGATATACTTGATGAAAGGCTTCCAACATTAGAAGATCTAGGTGTAAAACTAACCAAAACAGAAGAACATATACCTTATGAGCTTAGATTTTTGAGAGCTTTCCAGTCTTAYATAGACACGATTGGTGAATTTGAAAATCCTGCTCCTCCGCCAGCTTACATAGCACCACCAAAGCGTAATTTTACATAAATCGTCAAAATTAGGTATAGTAGATGAAATAATCAGTATTTTAGTAAAATGTAGTACTCAAAAATATAATATTTTTACTGTATATTCGTTTTTATTTACAGACTTAAATTCTTGACATTTATCTTTATCTTAATAGTAAATATTAAATAATATAATAACATAATTATACATTTTTATCTATAAAATAGTTACAAAAAGTACCGTTCACATTTAAATCCAGTCATTATCAGAAGGCTATATTATATTATAGGAATACTGACTAGGTATATTCATACGGCTTCAATAACTTAAACTGAAAAGTTAATTTCATTAAATTATACAATATATTTATAAATTCTTTTTTTTTGTACCTAATCCTAATCTCTATAATATAATAATAAGACTTGAACAGAAGATACATTCTATTACAAAGTTTAAGTCATCTTAATGGCTAGTATCACATCCGTCCTGAATTGTCGTTTTGATGTTTCAGAAACCATCTGAAGAACGCGTCTGTCGCAGTGGACTTAGTCGGCTGTGCCACCAATCAGAGTCTAAAAAAAGAAAAAGAAATACATAAATAAACAAATAAATAAACATTAATTGTGTTAGAGTAAAATCAACATTTTGTCAAGTAAAAAATAAAACCAAAAAAAAAAAAAATTGTAAAATGTATATTTTGTTTTAAATAAATATTTGTGTTCAATTTGTATGTACATCAAACATCTTAATTGTAGAAGAGTTGAGTAAATATATTATGGTACTTAGATGAATAGACAAATATTTTTCTGAACTTTGTTCAAATTTGGATTATTAACTTGGTACTACAGATTTTTTTTAGGGTAGTGAGGTTATAGTGTTGACATTTTTATTTGTATAAAAAAAATTCATAACTGAAACTAAATAAGTTTGTTTTACTCTTTATGTTGTTAAGTATTATGCCATTATGATTACTAATTACTAATTATTTATGTATTTTAAAATTTATTAAACCCAATTTTTGTTACTTATCTACCTACATCTTATTTCAATGAAAAAGTATTATTTTTATTATTAAAAAATTAGTATCAATATGTAACATCTATATTCTATAGCAGAGGTTCCCAAACAGTGGGTTACATTTTTTTATATCATAAAATAATTAATACCGGGTTACTATAAAAATATATACAATTTATACATTACAAACAAASAAAATATAAACTTTATGTATAAATATGAAAATCAATCATAGTCTATGTCATATACTCATAGGTGAAACTATAGCCTGACCTAATACTGATTAAATAACATATCGACTTAATACTAATTAAAATGTAATTAAAAAACAGATTGAAATTAGAATATTTATATATATATATCATTTGGCCTGTCCTGATAAATTCTAGTTTTGCCTATTCATATACTCTCATATGATACAATATTTTCTAGTAACTAATATGTCTTTATTGTGCATTTATGACTTTTCATTAAAAAAAAAGAAATGGTGATTAGTATTAGATATTAGATAGTAAGAGGCTAGTGGATTGCTTAATTTTCCAAAATGGGTTGTAAGTACAATGAAAATTTTGGGAACTCTGTTCCATAAATAAAATATAAATATTACAGCTACTTATCTATTGCCTTTTAATAACGTAATATACTTGATTTGCATATCTATTTAATAGTATTGTCTGTGAAACATGACATAATTAGTATTAAGATAATTAATTTGTAATTTATATARTTATATTAGAACGATTAGGTATCGCCCAACGTAGAGATGGCAGTCGATGATTGTAGTTCGAAGTCATGCGTTGCCAACTATATTTTATTTGTTTAAAAACAATAAAARAAACCACCCATAGTAAGAAAAAAATCTTTGAAAAACCATCTACTTGAACTTAAAGAATTATACGTTTCTTTAATTGTCAACTCTTCAAATCGATTATTAAAAAACACTACATTAACATAAAAAAAATAAATAACAAATTAAAGTGCACGTCCACGTAACTATCAATTGAATAAAGGAGGACCTTGTTATACGTTATTATCGATTTAATCGTATATGAATTATTTGTTCATTATAATTTCAGATGATTTGGAAATAATATTTATGTTACTCAGTTACTGTTTGGGAGTCTTGTCGTATTTTAAAACACAATATTACCAATATACCTATTAACTATAGACTATTATACTCGTTTAAAATATTAATACAAGTTTATGGAAATAATTAAACAGCGGCAAGCGCATAAAACGATTATTAAAAAAAGAAGAATATAAAACGAAAACAATTTAAAGTAATTTCTTATTCATATTTAAAAGGTAACTCGACCTTTTAGTTTGAAAAAAGGTCTTGTAAAATCTAGCCGGAACAAATATAAAGGGTCCTCTCACTGCATATAGGTTCCCTTCTCTACGTCACCATGTCCAATATATTATGTAATATTATATTAACCTATTTGCTTATTGTTTTTTGTTTTTGTTTACTATACTGATTTTAAATGTTACCTACTTATTCATTTAATATAATAATAAAAAAAGAAGGTTACTCATACAGTCATATTTTAACAAGCATATACAGCATATACCTATATAGCCTTTAATATAGTATAATATATTATAGGATTTTAGGGCTTTGTAATCATATAGGTATAGTCCTCCCTCCTCCAATCATATTTTTGGCCATGATACAGAACTAAATCCGTGCCTCTTAAATAACAATTGTTAATTTTTAACATTTTTCTAATATCAATATTCTAATATATAATATTTTTCTAATATTCATGTAATTATTTGTATGAACGCCGAGCCCCTCGAAAGTCCGGTCCCCAGTACAATGGGCCCTTCTGACTTCCCCCCATAAGCAGTATAAGCAGTAGTAAAATGAATATTTTTCGTTCATGATACTATAAAATAATTTTAGGGACCATCCATCCCCTAAATTGTCGTATAAAATTCTTCTTTCGGTATCTACCGACTACCAACCACTAACCAACCCACTCCAGAACTTTAATTACGCTGACGCCACCACTGGTTGTAAGTATTTATACACATAGGTATATATTATTATTTATGTATCAAAATGCCTGTTTGACAAACTAACAGGGACCGAACTTCCTATGTAGTAACAGCAACCAACGGAGTTTTTGACTACTTATCTTCCTCACATGGATTTCSTTAATAATTTGTCGTCTAATTTACGTAATATTTTAATAAATTCGATTGTTATATTCTTATCACCAGATATAATTTCAGTTTCCACTATCCAATCATTGTTTACCGCCCAAACATTGTACAATCATTGTATGGGTACCTACTGTTCTATTGTACAACAAAATTAGGTTCTGTAAAATGTATAGTGCCATAGTAAAATTAAAACAGAATTTAAACAAACATGGACGTTGTATACTTATAATAGTAATCAAAACAAAGATTATAAGATCTAGGTATTGATAAATAATTTTTAAAAATGGTACAATATCAGGACTACATTTGATGGTTGCAATACAAAATTGAAAATATACCATATTTTGTTTAAAAAATACACGTTTTCATGATTCACATATTCTGTTGTAATGACTATTATATAGTATAAGTAGTTGAGATTACAACTTTATTTCAAAATAAAACAATGTATATTGTTTCTATTCTGTGTCTTATTACAGACATGAAAATAATGATAAACAAGAAACAATTAACCATATTTTATGAAATATGATAAAATAAAAATTACATATTAATTTAAAACAAAACGTACTGATAGTCGTAAGTATATAACTAGATATATAGGCACCGTTTTAGGTAGATATAGGCGATGTTGACGTTTACTTAAGTGCGTAAAAGAGATAAATAGGTCAGTGGCAATATTACTAGGAGAATATTAAGATCTAAGACCCTCTTCTTTTTGTTTTATTTGTCCAAGAACAGTTGGGATTGAATATTAAAAAATGGGTTGCTTGGCACTATTGGTATATACTATTGGGCTTGATTTCTCTTTGAAGTTAAAAGAAACGCCAGCGCGCTATTATATGAGAACGCGTCCCGACCGGGGTCCGCAGAGTTGTTTCCGAAAGACTGGTGATGGGGAAATCGGAAGTAGGAAGTTCAGTTGTCGTGAGTTTTGCAATGAGGACTGCGAACCGCGTGTCCGTTGACCGCGGTCACGACCTTGTTAGCGGTAACGCACCTATAATTGTAATTTTGCTGTATACATAGGTTCCTATATACAACGCCGTGTTAGCGAGCTGCGGTTAAACAGACACCCGCGTATATTATATTCATAATAATGGGGGTTCCGGTCGAAGTCAATGTCTTCCGAGGCCCTTATATTATATACGTAGGTAAAATATATAAATATATTTGTAATACACAGGTGAAACGTACTATAAAGAACAGAATAGAACGGTGTGAATACATAAGGTTCGAATGTAAAATATAGCTTAATATAAGAATATGTAAATATAATTTTCGAGTTTTCGACATTTCGTCGTGAATGGAAATTAAATAATATACTTTGGTAAAAGTGAAAATAGTTTCTAGTTTCTACGATTAATATATTTGAAACACATGATAACTWAAATCGGACGAAAAAAGCGGTTTTTCGTTTAAATATAGGTAATCTATATCCAACTTTGTTAAAATTAAAATTTTAAATAGATATTCATAAAAAAAAAATTGTCTCAAATAATTTTGATATTTTTAGAAATCTATAACTGGTGCAATAATAATTAGTCAACATACTAATTTGTCTTATATGTGCTCATGGTTATTGATTACTGCAAGGTTGAAATTTAGGTGTCATAATCTGTTATGGTAAAATTATTGATTACAATTTTATACATGACAGAAGTTTTTTCTGTATATTCAAAATATTTTATTGGAATTTTTTTATAAATTTTTTTTGTCTGCCTATTCATACTGACTGCTAATCTAATTTATAAAAAAAGCCTGACAAAAAAAGGATAAAATTGTCCTCGGTAATTTTCATCACAATGGCATCGATACCTTGATTTTGACCGTGTATGTAATTGCAGCTATGGAATTAATCACAGCTTTCAAAACGTGCTTGTAATGAGTTATTAGAATTATTACATATACATTACTGTTGCACCCCTCTCAAGTAGAGCATACGAATTCAAAGTCAATCTACGATTACACCCGACAAGCTAACATACACCCATACAAAAATCACAACAAACGCCGATATGATATATTATACACAGTAAATGTAGGTACGACGTGCGAATATTTTTTACCGATTATTGTTTTGGATTCCTGTGGTATATGCCACGCACACACGCACACAAACACACGCTAGCTATCCGGAAATGATCTTGCGGAAGAGGTGTATATTATAAAAATAACAAATATATAGTTATTCAATAAAATACAGTCGCGATTGTGAGTGCGTCGGCCGTCGTCAGACTACTTAGCTGTTGCAGGTACGCTAACAGAGTGAACCGGAGGCTGCTCTTCTGGCGAGAAAAAAAAGATATTACTAAAATGTATACACTAGCATTACATATACATGCTGTATTGCTGTGCCCGATGAAACTTGCAAATGCAGGCATTATAATACATAAATGTTATGGGTAATTATATTTTCATATATATGGTTAAATATAGTTTTTTCAATAAAATTTGTTGCCATATTTGACCATGCTTTCGAGAATTCGCGATAAATATACTTGTTTTGTACAGTACACAACGTAGAAAATATACTTCATAATAATAGTTAATAAGTACAAGATTCAAAAAATGTGTGAAATTGAGTTTTCGCATATTAGACATATACTGTGCGTATCAGTGGCGAACAAAACCCTAAATCGCATGACAACTCAAAGCCATATACCWATTATTAAAATGGGGCATAATCTTCTAAGGTAGCTTCCCAACCAAAGATAAATCTCGTTTTTATGAAATCAATATCTTTGATCTCTTAATTTTATAAAATCTCTGATTTTATWATTTTATAAGTCTTCTAAATATTAGCCCAGAAAATTGCAGAAGTCTTATTTTGTAAAATGAAACATTGAAGCGAAAAAAGATYATACTATGATGTATGAAAATATTATACACGTGCTACACAATTGCAGTCTCCTCCTCAAAATTAAAGCTTCGAAAATGCTGAGTAATGACACTGTTTAAATTGTTATAATAATAATAATAAAAGTTTATTGCAACAGCATCAATTTAATATGGTTAGATAAACAATATATAAAAAGCAAAAGGTGCAACTCATCCTATAAACACATATATCAACAAATATTATACATTTAAGTATAGTTGATATCATTGTAAGCACAACAGAGCCTCTAAAAATAAAATTTGTGTTGCCGCCACTGATGCACACAACACGTTTATTGCATACATAATTATAACAAGACAGCTGGAAACAACGACACCACGTGCAACYGCCAACCCATGTTTGTTGTGTTATGCAGATAAGTACATAAACATATTATAATATATTAGACGATAGTACCACAAATGCAATATACATGATATAATATATTCATATATAAAATATTRTATTATTATATACATAGAACTGCACCTCAAAATTKTTGTAATGATTTATTTTAAAATACACTGCATGTGAGTATACACGTTTTCATGCAATAACCAAACCCCCGAGGAGGCGAGGACCGTAGACGAAAAAAATATACTTAATCTAAGACATATGACGTACACTCCCCTTCCCTAAGTTAGACGTCTATAAAAGATGATTGGTTCTGTATGACCATATGGGAAAATAAAATAAAAACGTAGAAGTAAAAGATACTYCGTATTATACATAATATAGCCATATAGGTATATACATATGCGAACACAATATTCACAGAATAGCATTAAAAATCCATAAAGCCGCAGTGGTGTTCCCATAGGGTATAATAGTGTATACTCTCACTTTGATGTATACATATATACATACACAACGTAAAATCATCACAAGATGTTAACAAATCATGAGATACATCGGACATCCTACACTATACAGTGTAAACTWTATAGAGACGTCCCGCGGGGGGTTTTGATTGAAATTCGAATATCGTCTGSGTGAGCTGATATATTTGAAGATTTTGAGTTATATATAGCTGCTGGAAATAATATTACGCATCAATTGGCCACTTTAACGAAGCACTTTGTCAGATAATTATTGACATTCAAATTTTTTACTTTCGATCATGGACACAGGACACGTCTCGGTCACCCCCTCTCTTAATAATATAAACCACCAGCATGRTATATATAACATACCCCTAGTCGGGCACTCGATGGCTACTGAGTAAACATTAAAAAAAAAAATCGATGGGAGCATCACTGCGATAAAGGTACAAAAGCGCACGTTCAGATGCGTACTCACCGAATGACGTCGATCGGTTGGTGCCGGCGGCGACCGTTGTGCAGTTGGTGGCGACGTCTGTAATACGGTCGTCGCCACGACTGCCACCGCCACCGCCGCCGCCGTCGTTGCGTTGAGCCAGCGCGGGCGTCAGTTCGTCGGGCGTCGACGACCTACTGTCGGGCGACTCGCACACGACCGTTGCCGCCACTGCCACCGCAGCTACGTCCGGTATCTGTGCACATACACACGCACAAATACTCAAACGTCATTTCAGCCCCAGATTTTAATTTTTTGTTTATTCGTTGGTTAGGGGGAGGGGGTCAAATTGATGGTTCTTTCGTTCTTTTAATATATTTTTTTCTTTCGATTTTTTGGTTTTAGTCTTAAAATAGTATATAGTTTAGGTATTAGGTTATTTTAACGTGACGCACCCCCCTTCACGTCAATCTCATATATGTATTATGTATTTACCGTTCTCGAGTTTTGCGCCGTGTCCATGAAACTTCGACCACGTGCGTACTGGTACACGTCGAAATCGTTGGTCACCTCTTCGACTTCCACGTGCAGGAAACTCTCTTGACTGCCTGTGAACTAAACGTACAGGCACACACACACACATACACACTATTAATAAGATTTGTCATTGAACGTTATATTCTTATATTATCATAATATATAATATAAGAATATAATATATAAGTACCTATATAATAATATAATGCAGTGAATAATAATGATAATGATATTAATACACATAATAATATGTATAGTCCGTATATAATATACCTAATGTTATTAAAGAGTTATATAATATACATATAGTACAATATCGACTAAAGATTGACTAGAAAAGATTATCTAATTTATTATTATGCCCATAGATATATTATTATATAGGCCATTGACCGTTCGATAGTGTTTAGAATTTTTTTTATAAACGCCTATATTATTTAAATCAACATAAACGTGCACAGATTCATATGCAGTCAAATAGGTGCAGGCTTATATTTATAATACATATGTATACAGCTATACAGGTTACTCATAAGTTATGACGATTAACATAATAATGTAATACTAATAGCTATATAATGCTATGTATAATGTATATGATATGATTAAACATTCTATTTTATTATGATGAACGCATTTTTATCCCAACCTTCTCGGTTACGTACGCCGCTTCTCAGTTCAAACTCCAAAACAACACATATATTACCAAATTACAACCAGTTTTCAAAGTTTCGAGTTACATTAGTATTTCCTAAATTATTGCGTCAGACATCCTTCCACTAACTGATTATATATTTTTTTAAACTCCTTACAGCAGTTGTAATAAATTGATAACAATGAACTGTTTCTATTAAAGTATTTTACGTAGGTACAAGGTACAATAGTCAAAACAAAATATTTTAACAATTCATAGATTGTAGTTTTTAAAGCTTACATTTTTAAATTATAAATAAAATGAGAAATTGGTAAAGGATATTTCAAAATCATAAATCTTTTTAATTCATTTTGAATAAACCTAAAAACTTAACTTGCAGTTTTTACTCAATTTAAATTTGTTATTTATATAATTTATAATAAATATTTAAATATTATGATTGAAAATAAAATAAAAATGTTAGATACCTATCTAAAGATTATTTATTTTTATTTTTGAATAGTTGTCGAGATATTTTAATAACTATATTATTTAAGCTTATTTTTTAACTTTACTATTCAAGTTAAAATAATATAGTTTATATATTGTTTCACCGAGAGACGTATCAACAGAAACTCTTTTTTCGAATAGGTAAACTGTTTTCTGTTATAGTGCAATCATACACATCCTATATTAGCAAATGACAACTGAACCACAATTTATGTTATATATAGTCACAATAAACATTCATTTAATATACTTAGATGGTATTGGATCAAAGAATAAGATGAGATCATTTTTTATTATATCACTTATATCGTTATAATTAAAATAGATCATCTTTGATGATTAGTGATCATATTCTGACTAGATTTTGAGTTTTGTTACATGATTATAACAATTATTTATATTTTACAATATGTCATTTTTCGTTTTTTTTTTTATAAAAATCATTTTAAGTATCTACCTAGTCAATAATTATGTTAAATTATAATATTAAGTATAGTTAATAATCAAGTATTAAAAATAGGCTCTTGTGATTAAAAAATATAAAGGTAGTTACCCAAAAACAAATTAAAACCCCCTTACTTATCTGAATATTGATATCCAATTTATACAATTCAGTTTTATGATTAAATTTTAAATTAAATAGTATTTTGTTCTGTTTTGGAAAAAAATCTATGACTGTATATTATTATTATTATGGCACAATAAATAATAGCATAATATTTGTAATAATAACAGAAATATAATAAGTTAACCATTGTTTATAATAATTTATACCCGTATAGGTAAAAATAAACAACGCATTAATGCTTACTATAGTTGTATGACGTGCAACCAATCATGAGTAACTAACCAAAGATAAAATTCTAAATGGCCCGAAGGATTTGTATAATTTTTTTATGAAATCATTTATCTAATTGGTCATAACTCATAATCAAAAAACGTTACCAACATATTCCAATAACTACATAACTTAAAATATTATTATTTACTATTTTTTTTTGGCAAATTTATTTACTAAATAATCTCAGTTAAAGAAGTATAATATTATTAATAGATAAAAATGTTCTAAGTCTACATGGTGAGTGATTAACAATTAAAAGTGTATTATTCATACTATTTATTCAGTATGGACACATCATAGGTATAGAGTGCGATAATAGTAGGTTTATATGAAAAGATGTATATATTATATATGTATATTCTAATAATGTCCCAGAAATACTATAGAAAAATAATCAACTTTCAAATTGAAAAATGTATCTACTTATATATAAGTGATATTTATGAACAAGCATTATGAAAGAAATTGTCTGTATTATGTTATATTATATTCAAATATTATATATATATAATCCAATATTTTCAACTGAAGATGAATTGTTAGATTTGTAATTATTACATAAAAAAACGGATTTGACTCGATTTATTTTTTTCAGTACATATTGTAGTGAAAAATAACTAAAAAAACACATCTCCAAAACATCATAATATCTGTCGTCATATAAGATAATTATATTCTATGTCTCCAAAAGTTTTAAGAAAAAAAAACTAAATTAGGTAATTGAAAAAGTTAGCAATAAAACAAAAAATAAATAATGTTTTTGTGAATCTGAATAAACAAAATATTACCTATACCTATTGAATAATTCTTTTTATTGTCCTCAATTAATTTAAAAAAACTTTCATCAATATTATAATACAAATTATTCTAGTTTCTAATGTATCTATACATATTTCAGAGATAATATGGATGCATATTGTATATTATATTTATTATGGGCTACATAGTTATTATACGCAATCGATAATTATAAGATAGTGTAGGTACTCACCTCACTTTATAAAAAAAGAAACCAGGCTATTATAGTGATAACATTAGGATAATTTTCGTACAAAATTACTGAAGTGAATTATCGTGATTTTACACTGAAAACTTTCACGTATCACTAGTTTATAATAATATACACGTCCTAAATTTAATGTATATCATTAGGTATAGTATATAAATCATCCATTTGTAAATTTCTACTCGCACAGATTTTTCGATGATCAACGTCACTACTAATTAAGAATACAGAATTTATATTTTCATGTACTTGTACATTGTATAAAGGATATATACAGTATACCCAATACCCTATTTATTCATAGAAAGAATATTTAATTGCATTAAATGCTAAAACCACGATCCACAATTTTTATTTTCACTCCAAATTAGAATATTATTGTTTTACAATTACACCAGTCATTTGTCATCATGTATGTACTATCGTTTACCGAAATTGCTGAGGTATTTATTTCCCTATCACATACTATACATATAGGTACACGTACAATATATTATATTATTATACGAATGCCAAGGTTCGCAGATTATCCRAATAATATGATGTTATTTGTGCCGACGAAAGGAATCGTCAACACAACAAAATCAACCTTCACTTTAACGGTTGCGACTTGTTTTCCTTCGAACTCTACATGCGTAAATGCATAACACCTCATTCACATAATATAATACAGAATAATACAGTCCATAAGTTCAATTTATGTTAGGGAACATCCTCGGTTTGTAGTAAAATATTTTTTTTAAATTTCTTATTAATTTATCGATTTTAAATATTATGTGAAATTAATATTGTAAAATTTAGATAGGTACTAATTAAAYATAAGGTTATTATGTAACAAACATTTTTGACGTGAATTGTTTTTACATTCTTATAAAAAATAGGCGGTGATCGGTAGTAGGTATATCTATGCCATTTCAAATAATATTCTATTTTAATTTTTTTCAATTTTCTCCAAAAGAGCAAATCGTATTCCGCAATGAGTTAAAATTACGGGCAGTGAAAATAAAGCACCAAATGTTTTATGTAATTAAAAAATATCATATAGATAAATGTTTTAGGGATAAATTTGAATATTTTGTGTCGTATTTTAAATTTATGAAAAAACTAAAAATAATTTTCGAAAACTATTGAAGACATTTTGGTAAGTATGGGTTTGTTTTTTGGGGAATTTAACTTACCAGTAAAAACAGCTTTCAAATAAATGAATAAGATATATATATATATACCTATATTTATTAATAGGTAATAATAATTCACAATGTATCCTATACCTACATTAAGACATCAAGGCTTTTATTTTTATGGCCGTTTCAAAGTTTTACAATTTCAATTTATTAAAACTGTATGACTATAATTTTTAGTTTAACAAAAAGCTCGGTAAGAAAATAATTAATATAGGTACAAGGTTACTAATATACTCATATCATATTCATGAATATATTTTTGGTATTATATTTAATACATTTTTAAATTTATAACCAGTGAATTTTATTTTTATGAGTACTAGCAAGTTTTAAAAACGTTTAAAATAGCATGTATCTAATAAATACTAATAATAAATTCAGTTTAATTCATAATCGTTATTCATAAAATATGATCTTAAAATATTAAAATTATTGCCATATAATATATACTTCTATGATTCTAAATATTATATTAAGCATCATAAAGAAATTACACGAGGAAATAAGTTTTTTCAGGAGACTTAAATATTTTAAGTGAAATGGTTTGCATTAAATATTAAGCACAAATTATATTCACATTCATTAGCATTGAGCCTAATTTTTCATGTTATCACGTTATTTAATCTATAATCGCCTTTCATCCTCTTCGATATATTTATATGCGTTTATTAACTTGTTATTATTGCATTAGTTTTAGGGAATATTTCAAAGTTATCTTAGGTCATTAAATATGTGAACCTACATCCTTAATTAATATGATAATATAAAAAATAATATGATACAAATAATAATTTATTATATTTTAATCTTATCAATACAATTTTAAGATTGAATGTTATATTTTATAGTAATTAATGATATTATGTAGGATGTGCGACCGTTATTGAATTCTGGTGTTATTCAAGTATCAAAACACAGGTATAACGTGTATAATTACAATAATGACGATGTAAATGTATTTAAAATTAGTTATATTTTGTACCTTATACTATAAAAACAATAATGAACTCATCTTTTAGAATATTGGGTAATTTATTCATGTAACATAATTTTATTTCAAAATGTATGTCTGCAGCATATAGGTATATGGCAAAATATGCGGGAGGATCGTGATACACCCATCCTCATCATCAACGTATGACATAYACCCAAGACAAATGATGGTGATGGTGGCATGTTGTAACCGTTTATTTAATAACACCGACTTGAAACTTGTTTTAATACAATTGTACATTTATAACCTATTAAAAATTTGTGGTTACCGTTAATGTTTGATCACATTGTTGTTTTACCCTAAAAAGAAAAATTATTATTCACTCATTTTCAGTGTAATGATCTGTATATTTTATAGAAGTGATCATCAATACTAACTATGCAGAGTACCTATAACATGCAGACTACAGAGTAATGAATTTGATAGATATGGAAATCGTCAAGCATGATTTTTGATTTTACGTACCTATATAGTGTAGGAACTAGAAAATCGTAAATATGTAGATATTTTATGTATATAAATTATGAATATATTGTAAAAGTACATATTATAATTTATAGGTATCTACCGAGTATCTGCCTAATATACGTATATAGTATATATACCTACAATATTATACATATTACCTATTTACGAGTATTATATTTGTAATATAGCGTATATGGTTATAAAAATAATATAAGTCCGATAATAATGTGTCTTCGTATCAAACCGTGAATTTTTTTTAACTTTATTCTCCTTTATGGCGTATTTTTGTTTTAAAAGTTTCTTTGGTGGCGTCTGACATGAAATCGTACGTGAAGTCAAAAATATAATCGTAATTATTACGGATTCTGTTTGGTGCCCTTTAAATCATATTGGTTTATATATCAGAACTCTATACAACTATATACTTACATACAACATAAAAGTATAATTTGTATAATGTATATGTTTTATATATATATTTTATGAGTGATCATATTATATAAACAAACCATATAACATATGTAATATATACCTACTTGGTTGCACGAGCAAGGAAAAATTATCTTTGAGCGTGTTACGTGCATGAATAATTTTAAATAATAGCATAAAATAGTAAATATAAAATAATATCAAACCAAGTCGTAGAAAACCAACCCAATGTTAAAATACTGGGCATCATTTTTGATCATAAAGCTTCATGGATCCCCCATATTCTTAATCTCAAGAACATTACCACGCCAAGATTGAACATCATAAAAACTCTAGCTCATACCTCATGGGGAGCCAAATCTCAAACCCTCCTTAAAATACACAAAGCATTCATACTATCGAAACTTGATTACGGCGCTCCAATCTTCTCATCAGCGAAACACACC